CCCCCCCCCCCCCCCCCCCCCGTCGCCCTGAGATCGCGTGGCACGACGATGCCGCCTGTAGATCGCGTGGCACGACAATGTTTCCGCACACGCTCGGATGGTCAACGCCTTTGGGGCATTGAGGTCAAAGCAATCGCTTGCTGGATTTCGAGATCATGTCAAGCAGAGTGGAGTGCTTGTCTTCGATCCGGCTATCGCGAATGGAATCAAACCTGCTAGGAGATTTCCTACAGGGTAGTTTGACCCATAGGACAGAAAGCAAGCAAAAGATTGAGATCTGAATCCAAAGACGAAAGCCCAACACACAGAGCGCCAAGAAGTTCGCCGGTGGCTTGTTTGCAGAGGGGCTCAGAGGGCTGTAGTTAACCCAGCCAGTTTGATCGGTGCATTGTTGAATTAATGGTTGCTGGGTGGGAATTTCTGTGGGACTATGCCCAAAGACCCTCCCGTTCGATGGGCATCTCAGAACAAAAACAATGAGCAACTCTGCACATGTAGGTTCTCGGGATCAGCTTAGACCCTCAGCCTCAACCCCGTCAAATTCTTAAATCCTGGACCCCCAAATGATTCTAAACCCTCAACCTCAAGCCTTCTCCTGCATCCGAATCTTCGCCTTGGGCAGGTTCAAGGAGATGAAAGCCATTGAGGAAGAGCGGCGGCAGCAGGAGCTCGGGTTCAAAATGGCTTTTTCTCCTTACACACTATACCTTCTCAAAAGGGTTTGGGGTTTTAGCGTTAGTACCTATATGGGTGTTACTTAACCAAAGCATACTTGTAATTCCTACAGTATGTACTCAGGACCCATCGGGCTTTAATATGTACTATAGAACATAAGGTTCGGAGCGTGTCTGGGTTTCAATGTTCCCAACCGCTCGGCCCCAGCGTGACAAGCGCGACGAAGCGCTAGTTCGTAAGGCTCTAAGGCTCTCCAGCTAGGGTTTGGAGTTGATTTAGGGTTTAGGTGAGCCCATCGCAGCTCAAAACCCAAAGCCATAACCTGTGATTTAGCGTCTGGGGTTTGGAGAAGCCACCAATACCAGGATCTTCAGCACGACGAATCCCTGAAAAAGGCGCCCTTCAACCCTAAATCCAGCTACAACCCTAAACCCTAAACTTCAAAACCTAAACTCGAAACTCTCAAGCCCCGAGCCCGAAAAGTCTGAAACCCAACAAAACCCGGAACCCACAAAGCCTTAAACCCTAAAGCTCAAACCCTAAGCCTGGACCTATAGACCAAAGAGCCCTTTATGCCTATAAGATCCCAAACATGTCCACAGGGTTGTACGTACTGTTCTGGGGGATGCTTTCCTAAATCATAGTTGTAATTCCCGATATAGAAATCATAGTGGTAATTACAATTCATGGAAACCCTACATTCAATTCTACTATATCGGTACTCAGGCACCCTAAAAGGAAACCTAAGCCCAAAGCCCTTAAAAGAACCCTTAAAGTAAGGAATCCCTTAAAGGAATCCCTCAACAGGAAGCCTTAAAGGAACCCTTAAAGGAACTCTTAAAGGAACCCTTTAAAGGAACCCTAAACAGGAATCCCTAAACAGGAACCCTTAAAGGAACCCTTAAAGGGAGACTTTTAAAGGAACCCTTAAAGGAACCCTTAAAGGAACGCTTTTAAAGCCAAGGAACCCACTTAAAGGAACCCGTAGGGGTACCTGGGACCCTTTGGGAAAGCCCTAAACCCTAAACCCTAAACCCTAAACCCTAAACTCTAAACCCTAAACCCTAAACCCTAAACACTAAGCGCAGGAGACCCTGGCAAGACAGGAGAGCCATCGCTTCGTGGAGATCGAGGCAGGGGATCTCGCCTTGGAGGTTTCAGGGGGTTTGGGGGTTTAGGGGTTTAGGGGTTTAGGGTTTTGGGTTTTAGGGGTTTAGGGTTCTGGGTTTAGGGAGTTTCGGGATTGAGGGAGTTTTGGGTGGAGGGGTTTTTGGGTTTAGGGGTTTAGGGTTAGGGATTTAGGGGTTTTGTTTGGGTTGGGGTTTAGTGGCTTTGGGAGGCAAGTTTCGGAGTTGGGCTTGAGGGGATTTTTGGGGTATCGACCCATGTTTGTATTATTGATGTTCTTAATCGTTAGACTAGGTTCTTGTTTTTGTTGTTTTGATGGTGTATCCTTAAAAGGAAACCTTGAGGACTCCTACTTCTAACAGCTTGTAGAACTTAAGGTTGAGCCGAATTCGTTTCTGTTTGGTGTTTAGGGTTCAGGGTTTAGGTTTTAGGGCCTCGGGTTCGAATTATACGGTCTTTTTTAGTGTTTTGATTGAGTTGAGATGAGGTTTGGTGATGAGGATGCACGCGATGTACTTCAATAGCCGAGCTTGTGAACGATGCCGTTTGAGCTGCCAGTTGAAGGCTCGTGCTGAGGTAGTTAGCAAGATGACGGAAACGGAAACTAGAAGCCCTAAGCCTTAAAATCCTATGACATCCTATGACCTTAAACCTCAGAACCCTTAACACTAAAAGCTGAAAACCTCAACCTTTTATCTTCGCCATTCAGTTCTGGGACATTGGATTCTTTGTCGGATGTGGTTCCGACTGGTTTTGAAGTGCGCTGTGTTGTCGTAAAGTTGGCGTTCCCGTTGACTTCTTTGAGTCAACCAGAATGAAACCCTACATGTCGTGCTTGTTGTGTGAATAAGGTATGCTGGTGACTGGTGTATTTTGGTGGTACTGTTTCCGGTTTTTGTGTGGAATCTTGGTGTCCCAGTGCCGGGACCAGTACTGGGCTATACCTATACCTCTCCTGGAGCCTTCTTTCTGGTGCAGGAGCCGGGCCCTCTCTGCCCTCTGCCCTGCCCGTCTGCTGTGCTCCTGCTCCCTGCTTTGCATTTTGTCTGGAAGGAAGAAATAACTGGCATGAGTTTATAGGTCTTAAGCCCTAAAAGGACTAGGTTTGGGTAGCCTGGCCTCAGACTGCGAGGGGTGTGGGAGAAAGCAAGAAAAGCCCTCTATAGACAGGCTTTGACAGCACGTCGCCACGGTACGATGCACTTGACACAGCTTGATCGCAAGATATTACCGCCTACTTGCTATTCTACGGCAAACCCTTTACCCTAAACCAATTTTGGGCCCCTATATGTCGCTTGCCGCAGGAAGAGAAGTGTAATTCCGCCGTCGCGTCCTCGCTGCTGGCCGTTTGCTTCCTTGCCCTTTGGCTGTTTAGGGGTTCCGTTAAGGAATCTATCAGGGCTCCGGTTAAAGGGTTCTAAAAGGGTTCCTGATAGAGGGTTTAGGGTTTTAAGGTCTTTCGGATTTTAAGCTCTTTAAGGTCGTTAGGTGTTTAGAGGTTTTAGGGCGGCGATAGGGCTTTAGGGCTTTGGGGGTTCAGGGTTTTAGGGTTTCTGGGGCCCTAGGGTGTTCTAGGGTGTTTTAGGGTTTTAGGTTGTTTTAGGGCTTTCGGGCTTTTAGGGTTTAGGGGATTTAGGGTTTAAGGGTCTTTAGGGTTTTGGGGTTGTAGGTTTTTGTTTTTTTTTAGGGTGGTTTAGGGTTGCTGGGGTTTTAGTTTGTAGGATTGGGGGGCTGAAGAGGTTTGTGGTTCTAGGGTTAGGGTTTATAGGGTTGAGGCTTTTAGACGATGCACAGAGGAAGAACGCTGTTTAGCTTATCAAGTGCAGCCCGTAAGTTTGGCGGTTGCGCCTCGGTAAGCTTGTTCTTCGAGTTCTGCTACACATATTCCAATAAGCCACAAGTTAAAGTTGCATATTGTCTTGTTGAGCGGAGAAAGCGGGTGTCAGAAGGCTGATGAACTGCTACTTGTGTCATCGCCATGTGTACCAGAAAGCCGCACATGCCAGAGCATAGACACTTAGGCTCGTTCATGGTCCCTGGACATACTGGTAACGAACATATAATATAAGAACATATACAAAGCGCAGAGGGTCGGAGAAAAAGCAAAGAGAGACTGATAGAGAGAGACAGCGAGCGAGGGACACCGGAGGCAGAGATGGAGACATTGATGGCCACAATGAGAGCGAGTGCGACATTGAGCAAGCACGATCATTCCTCATGCGCATCGTCCTACACAAACCTCTCTATCCTCTCTATCTGCCTATATGATGCGTGTTTGCATGCTATTCTGTGTGTCGATCTGTTTGTATTTCTACGTCGTGAGGTGAATTTATAAGTTTACAAACATATGCATGTATCTTGCTATACATAAACACACGCGCACATGTTTCTTGCTCCACAAACTCGTAGTTACAACTGTGCATGGGTTCAGACAGACGGACGGAGACGGCCGGACAGACATACAGTTTTGCTGGCATTAAAAAACCACCGGATAAAACGTGTACTTGTACATGTGATGTGTTGTACCTATGCGAATACAGTACACCCAGGAGAGACTGTGTTTCTGCATGCTTTGTGTATCCGTGTGTGTGTGTGTGTCTCTCTGTGTGTGTATGTGTGTGTCTGTCTGTCTGTGTGTGTGTGTGACCCGCCCTTTACGATACATTACAGTGTGGCTGAATCCTCGACGGGGTGTTGCCTTCCAGCTTTCGCGACTGTAGCAGAGCCTCATGTTTAAGGAGGGCATCATCCGGAAGCATCGGTCACAGTGTCAAGGCAGCTTTGTGAGGTTACGTTGATGAAGCCACTCATCCTACGGCCTAAACCTTCAACCCTAGACCCTATAACCCCCTAAACCCCTAAATCCTAAACCCTATTTTCCCAAAATCCTTCGCGCTCAGCCCTAAGACTTCGAGGGTTCGTTTCTTTATATTAACTATTGCTGAAGTCATGCTCAGCACCACAGATGCCACCAATTGAGGACTATGCCGGTTTTACTGTTTGGAGTTTCGAGATTCGTGTAGAGGGCTTACACCCATCATTCGGTTGAACCCATCCAGCGTCAGCATATGTCCACCAATCAGACACAAGGAATCCCGATAGACACCCTTGAGTGCGACGCAACGGGTGGTTCGGTACACTGTGGCACCAACATCAAACCCTCGAAACCCTAGGACGATGCTGTTCGCGAGCAAATATTCTTCAAAACCCGAAACTCTACACCTATCCAGGACTCTTGAACCTTTCGTGAGGTTACAAGCCACCATAGCTTTCTACTCGACAGTTCATGAGTGAAGTACAGTCGTTCTAGCTATGACTAGGATAGATACACCATGTATAGCCGGTGACCCAGGCAGGCTCGATCGCGCTTGTCTCGCTTCGACGCTTGGCTGACTTTGCGCTTTGACGGTGCAGGGTTGAGTGTTTAGAGTTTTGGGTTTGGCTTAGAGTTTTGGATGCTTGAGGGTTGCTGTTGATGATATACACCCTGCATTACTTTAAGGACCTTAAACTATGAGAATTATGGTATACCTTATTATGGGTAATGCAGGGTTTATATCATCGACTCTATTGTAGGGTTTGGGGTATCATCGAGCTTTATAGGGCCTAGGGGGTTCAGGGGGATCAGATGTGGAGTTCGCTGTCTTCTGGCACGCAAGGGGTTTGTTTGCTGGTATCGTGCTCTGCCTTGTACTCATTGTGCACATGATACCCCGAAAGTAAGCACAACTGTTGATGATATAAATCCTACATGACCTTAAGGACCCTGAACTATGATAAATTATGGTAGATTCCTGAAAAATATGGGTCATGCAGGATTTACATCATCAGCCGTAGTTGTAAACCCTGAGTTCATGGTTCATAGACCCTGAACCGCCATATCGAAGTGTGACGCATAGGCCGTGTGCTCCCACTGTAAACCACACGAAACATGAACCCCCAAAACCCTACTCTAATTATTTGTGTGGTGCTGGTGGCCAGGCGGGCCTTTTGCCCACCTATCGCATGTTGATATGTCCAGAGTCATGATTTAAGTTAGGCTGTTCGTCGAGATCCATGCCAAGGAATGTGATGGTGTCCTTTTCCGATTTTCCTTTCACTTCATAGCTTAGGGCGATGGTTCTCTTGTATCAAGGTACAGTTCTCATAATATAGAAGCCTAAATAATTACCAATATTACTTTGGAGGTTCCTTATCCTATTCATATTATAAAAGAGCCCCAAAACCCTATTCTAACTATAAAGGCCCCTATATTGAACCCTTCACCCTAAACCCTAAACCCTAAACCCCTAAACCCTAAACCCCCAAACCCCTAAACCCCTAAACCTAAAACCCCTGAGCCCTAAACCCTAAACCCCTGCACCCCTAAACCTAAAACCCCTAAAACCCTAAACCCTAAACCCTAAACCCTAAACCCTAAACCCTAAACCCTAAAACCCTAAACCCTAAACCCTAAAACCCAAACGAGCCAGCAATCACAGGATTCGTCCGGCTCTATGGGCCCCA